GCATGGCTGTAAGCGATCTATTTTTTTGTACTGTTTTAGTTACTTGATGTAAAAATCTGAATGAAAATAAGTTTTAATTGAGAAATTGAGACTGAATACAATAGAAGTGTGATAGAAACGTCTAAGTAGATCCGCATTGAGTAAATCTTATTCAGATTGAAAAAATTTAAAACTCTTATATACAATTGTTTCAAGTTCATGGAGGAAAAGGGTAATAAGCAACTGTATGGCCTATAAAAACAACGTCTAAAGTTATTCTAGCCAATGTGTGATTGAAGTATAGCAGTATATTCTGAGAGAATAGATGAGGCTGGCGTGCTGGTAAGAACGGCACAATCAGTTGGAGAAAGCTTTGCAAGGAAAACAGGGGAGTAGAAGTTTTCGGGTAGGTTTTTGGTTACACGGCGTGAGTAATCAACACGTGATGCGGGCTTTCGCCTTGAATCCAATCGGAGATTAGCCCACCGCGCTCCTTTGGTGTCTTTCTGATGGTTGTAAGAGACACTGTCAACAAGGTGCAGGAAGTTAGAGTACTCATTGCTCCTCCAGTGAACCCCAACAGCACGCAATTGTTTTGGTGTTGCATCTTCGGTGTCCGAGATGCAGCTTCCGTCAGGTAGCAAGGTCAGGGGTGGGATATCTAAGCATGTTTCAATCGTGTCTCGACGGTACCCCAGAAGCTTACAAAACATTAGGTCAGAATTCAAGCACAAAGGTGGATCACAATTAATAACACTTACTGTAGTTCTTCTTTTCCTGATCTTCTCTTGCATTTGGATGTTCGAGCGTTCCATCCGTTTTATTGCTTCACGGTGTCCTCGTAACCATCGCTCATAAATTCCAAGAGTTGTGAGGCCACCGTCATCCTCGCGGTTGATAGGATAAATTGAGAAGGCTCCTTTGAGGTGAGCTTGATCAAAGTGCTTGACAGCAAAGGCTAGAACAGCCTGGTTCCAGGGCACCTTTTCGGAAAGATTCCAGGCAAGTGTCGCACGTGGAATACCAAAGATGGTCAAGTCGTGCAAGAATTGTTGTCTGTGAGTCTCCCAACAATTCTTTTGGCGACGCGAAATTTTCGAAGATGGTGTAGGTGGATTATTGAGCTCCACAAGGAGGGAAAAGGCCGAAAGGTTGGACATGATCTTGTTAAAAGTCAGATGTGGCAGTCTGGAGAACTGAGAAAATTCGCTGGGGGAGGGTTCAGAGGGGTAAGGTGTCTCCAAAACAGTGCGACCAAGTAGAAATTTCAGAAAGTCGGTGGCGGCTTGGTAGAATGCTGAATTTCGATCAGGTAAACAATTAGCTACAGCCTTATTTCTAGATTTGGTCGAGCGTGCTGGTTGATCTTCCTTCCAAAATATTGATGTTGGTGGCTGGTCTCGGTCTTGAATTAAGCAAACAATTAGTAGTTATAATTCTATCAGACATGGTCAATAAAGAAACTCACCATCCATAGTATAGAATGGTGGGGTAGGTTATTGTGGATCAATAGCAGAAAAGAATCGATTGAGGAAAGAAGATATGTCAGCGCATGATAGCAAAACGTTACAAGAGGAGTCTATGATATAAGTACGTTCAACTTCGAGAAAATCCCTCAGAAAATCCCTTTGTTGTGTGTAAAGGCCATAAAAAGAGGTCAAGTCCGTGACAAGGGGTCTATCCAGAAGAGGTTTACACAATTGGTGCACCTCTACTCATTGACGGGATTGCGTTTGTAATCTTTCAGATCGAGTGGGGATACTAGAAGTCAAGATATGAGATATCAATTGCATTTTGAGTAGCATCAGTTGCAATGAAATTTAGATTCCCTTGTCAGCGCCAGGCTTACAATACGATGATTAGTGCAGTCGGGTGAGACGAGCACTTCAGTGGTCATCTTGAATAACACGACAGAAGCCAGCAACCAGCTGTTCGGGTCGCCGCTGTGCCATCTTTGGCCTCGTTTTTTGCAGGCGGAGCCTTTGAGATGATTAAGGGGATCGATTCTGGTTTGGCAAAAATCAGTGAACGTTTTTCATGCATCCGTGAACTGGAAGTCAATCAGACGCCAGTACTCATTTGTATGGTATATGGTGGACGCGGGGCAGGCTGCCGGGGGTACTCGGATAGTCATTCGGAGTGAATGCTCTCTGGGATGAGAGGTTAACACATTTTCGCAGTTCACAATCCAAAATAAAAATTATTCCACCCCTTGTGCTACTAACTACCAATCTCAAGCTTGTTTCTATCAAGGCATAGCTACCAAAAGTATTTGATTTTCATTAACCAGAAGATGAATCAAAGCAATCACGATCATAATACACTATCCTCAAATACTGATCTTCACTCAAATGGAAATAGCGACAATCCACCTGGCAGACCTTCTGGACCAATAGCTTCACCTCATTCGGAGCCAATCGCGGTGGAGAAAAGCGACTCGCTAGACAAGGCAGTGGATCTTCAATTGAATCATTCCAGCAACAATACATTTGGATATGATAGTCTTCAAATTGAAAAGTCTTCTCAATCAAGGCGCGAACTCACCTGTGATACCACTACTGAAACAAACGAAGAGGACCCCGCATTTATCTCTGCTCAATTACAATGTGAGATTTCCAAAGCGCAGCAGTCTCTTGCTGATTACGACTCATCCGATATGGAGATGGAAGACAAAACCTCTCTTAGTCAAAATCCTTCTCACAATCATCTTTGCATGGAAGCTAGAAAAGATATCAATAATGAACTCCAGTCCGAGTCAGCCAGACATTCAAATCCAAACGATCCCAAGAATACAATCAAAGAATCATCTCAATCCGCTTCTTGCACTTCATCAAACCCCATTTTACCCTCGACAACTACAACTTCCGCTGAAGATCCATGTATCTTACCTATTGCCTCATCTGAAAGCACTTCAGACAACAGAGAAATGCTGAACTCAGCCAACAGCACAAATCCAGACAATATCCAGAATCCAATTGGAGGGGACTCTCACTTTGAGTCACCCACACCCCTGAACAAATTTTCACTCTCAACCAATGCACCCATCCCAGATAACTCTTCTGACTTATCACCCATTTCCTCTCAGAGCACCTCAGGAAATGAACAAATCAATCTGAATCCGCGGCTAGATTCAACTAAGAATTCAAATTCTCCTGCTTTTTCAGAAAATTCAGCCCACTTGACTGTCAATTCATTTCGAAGTGCTGCAGATGAAGTATCCGATGTAAATGGTATACTCACGATAGAAGTCCATCCCTTGATTGATTCCAGTAAAGGAAAATCAGAAGAAGCACAGCCTCAAAATTCAGCTACCTCAACTGTCAATTCATTTCAAAATGCTGCAGACGAAGCCTCAGATGCAAATGGTTTACCCACGATAGAATGCCATCCCGTGATTGATTCTAGTCAAGAAGAAGCAGAAGAATCACAGCCTCAGCCGAATCGCAAACAAACACTTTCCTCTGGAATCTCCAGGCCTAGCAAGATTGTTCAATCAAGAGTGGAAACTTCCAATGGTTTGATACACACAGAAGATCATCACTCTGACACCAAGGCCTTGCGGGCATCCACAGCACTTCCAGTATATTCTAAACTTATTGCCGCTTTAGAAGAGGCAAAGAACTCAAATTGCTTGACTGATCCAATCGAAAAGGATCTCGAAAACCTGACCCTTAGGTGTAAAGTTACTGGTAATGGTACGTATCAGGCCCTTTCTCCTTGCGCTGCAAAGCTAGAACTTATTTTTTTGGTCATAGCAATAATACAAAACAAACCTCTTCCTCCGGCGGACAAACTTTGGATAATTATTGATGACGAGGACGAGGACCTTGGCGCAAAATATCAATTTTCACTACAACCTCTGGATTCCAAGGGAAGGCATTCACCAGAAAAATCCGACTGCAGTCCTAGTACCAGCGACAATATTTTACCGATCCAGATGAACAATGAAGTCATCAAGAACCTAGATTTGACTAAGAATAGGAATGCACTGGTTGAAAAAACTCAAGTCAAGACAAGGAAAGATTCAATTAGTAAAGAAGAATTTATGCTGTCGTCTAAATTTTCCTCTGACCTCGATTGTGAAGAGCAAGAAAACCACACCAAGTTAGCTAAATCTCAGCAAGAAATCAAGCAATCAGAGAATCTCGCCTCACATTCCCCTAGGTCTCAAACATCAAATGACAAATTGCAGGCAAAAGTACGAATTTTCGCGGTCTCAGAATCTATCTCTAATGTCAACTCTGAAGAGGAAAACCCAGAGCGAGAGAGGCCTGCTAGAGCCCCTGACTCTCACCAAAAAATTGATCAATCACAAAACGGCTCCACTCAATCGACTGAGTCTCAAGCTCGGAATGAAACACAAAGGACTAGATCACATGACCAAACTCCAATATCAAATACTCCTGTCTGCAATCCCTGCGCTGAATCTGAGAAATCAACCGATCAGATACAATCCCCAGTCGGTCAAATCAATCTTCCAGTCAGTGTAGCTCATAAGAAGGAATTGCGAAAGAGGCAAGCAACAACGGTAGAAGGGGGTTCGGCAGATTTGACAGATAGTGACACAAGTCTTGTGAGCACAAAAAAAGTGACGAGGAAGAGCAAAGAAAGAAACTCTGGAAAGGTGTGTTCCAAAGAAAAGGTCGGAGAAGGTGAAGTTACCAAGCAGGCTGTTGGCATGAAGAGAAGAAAAATTGTGGGGGGCAATGAGAGTCTGGTTGTCTGTGAGATCATGATCAACTTCTTTCCTTTACATGACAACTTCAAGAGGCTGACATTAATCTTTCTGTCAGTTATTTTTTTTATAGGATCATCTCAAACAGAAAAAGAGCTTTCCCAGCTTCTATCGCCATATGGTACCCATCAAACTAGCAGGAATTCGAAATTGGCAGCTTGGGACGCCTTGAATGCTTTATTGGAAAGACGAAGGGTCGGAGAACCCTTGAATCAAGTCTTCCTGGATTCCATTGATGGTGGCACCAGCAATGTGGTAATAAGGACTGAATACAACGCACAAAATTGGTTTGAAGCTATTAACAAAGAAAGTCAGTCTCCAAAAAAAATTGCTTGTGGATGAAATTGATCGTGATTACTGACTTAGTCCTCAATGGGAATGTAGTGCCGCAGCTATTTAACTGTCACAAGGGCGAGCCCGCTTATGCAGCCGGGTTCTTCAACACTTTATTTGTGAAGTCCGAATCACTAACAGAGAAAGTGCCCGATAATGTGCCGGAAGTGTGGCATCAGACATGGCGATCAATGCGGATGTCCCTCCGGCCTTCACCAACTCGAGTTTCTGCTTTCCTGAAGGTACTCCTGGACTCAGTCCTTCTTACCGGTAAAACATTTTTGAAAAATCCCCCTGTATCAGATCAGGAGAAAGCAATGACCGGTGTACAAGCAGTCTGTCAGGCGCTCAAATGGCTGAATTCACAAAAGACGTCAAAAGGTTCAAAGAACAAAACTATCCGCCTTCTTGATTCAGATAACGCCGACTCCTTAGTTGATATCGGTCTTATACAACAATGGCAATCCCTTTTCATCAAAGTTGTGGAATCTTATGTAGCTCTATATTTCGAAGTCAATTATATACTCAAAGAAGATGCAAGTCCTGACGATAAAGCAGTAGCTTTGAAGTTCAAGAAAGACTGGAAGGGCAATTCGATCAAATCACCTACCCTCAGTTACCTCACGATGTTTGCTTGTTGCGGTATCCGAGGGCTCATTTGTTGCTCAGGAGATGTGAATGTCACTCCAGCGGGACAAATGATGAGTTTTGCAGTGCTCTCAGAGTGGATGTGTAAGCAGAGGAAGGATTTCAAGGTGATAGAACCGATTTTCAAAAGGAGTAATCAAACTCTTATGAAGTTGATGGATGGACTCTTTGACGAGGAGAGCCATTTTATAATGCCTGAGATCACATGGTACGAGCTAGCAAAAAATCTTTGCTATGACTATCTGTCGCATTGGTTTTTACAAGGCGGCTCACTTACAAAAGGCAATAGCTTAGTTTTTCCCAAGTGCAGCGCGTTTGTAGGTAAGGATCACATAATCCAGTTTCCAGCACGGAGTTAGTTTGTGTCATTTTTAAATCTTTAGAGTGACCAGAACTCAAAAGATTCCGTTCTAAAAAACACCCTACGACTAAATTGTACTTTTTATTTTATATTGAAGACATTCAGACCCCAAACTCTAGTTCACTGATACCACACATCTTTTGAATTGATTCCTAGAAATTCACTCATTTGTTGAATTTTTTGATTGTCGTATAGAGCGGAAGGTTACACAGTGTATGTACATAGATAAGCTTGGATAATATCATGTTTATGGGTCTGAACCTAAGTTGAGCGGTAACATGATTAATCAATCATATCACCTTATTGAACAAATCTCCCCCCATTTGCCCGTTTTGAAACATTAAAATGTTTTGACCAAAATTCTTCAATCAAATGCAGCCACTTCAAGTTGAAAAGGTATCAACACATCAAATCTGAATTCAAGGCCAAATAGGTCAAGGCTTCCTTGATTGTTTATTGCCAACTCACTCATTACTCTTCAACTCAAGGTACAACTTGACAAAGGATCTCGATGAGGGTGCTGATAAGTTGAGCAAGGCACCAGTAGTACTCAACCTATTTGTCTCACAAATTTACGGTGCTTGAGCTACTTTGATTCTGGGGATGTTTTTCATCCAACAAAGGTAAAACAACCGGCGAGTCTTGTTTTACACACCGCGGCTGTGCTTTCCTTTGCTCTTCAAAACATCAACAATAGCCGTAAGATTACCTGTATGTTTGTTTCCAATTTGAGACCTTCTTTATTTTCTAGAAGCTAATCTACATGTTCACCTTTGTTTGTGTTTGTTCCCCTACTGCTCCGATTTTGAAGGTATTACATATCACAATATAGATAGAAGTCTGCCAGAATTCTTAAGGATTCTTTGTGAGCGTCATGCCTCTGAAGGAGGATTTACCCATGTAAATAGAGTCCCTTTGAGGGTGAAAGTCCTTTGTGATCAACTTACTACTGGCTGATTGATTCAGTCCTCGCATATCTCTCCATACTTGTCCTTCTTGTCTCCTTATACATCTCGAATTCACCGGCGAGTTTCGTTTCACACACCGCTACTGTGTGTTCCTTTGGTCTGAAAAACATCAACTTTAGCCGTGAGATTACCCTTATCTTTGTTTCCAATTTTACACCTCCTTTATTTTCTAGAAGCTAATCTGTTGACCTTTGTTTGTATTTGTAAACCCTACTGGTCCGATCTCAATCCATCCTTGTCCGTCTTGTCTTCTTCAGATCATGACTTCTTCTCCCACTCGTCATCATCCTTGATACAAGTTCTTGTATATCTCTCCCTCCTTGTGCTTGTGGTCTCCTTCCACATCTTGAATTCTTTTCCTGCTCATCATCATCCTTCAATATCAATCTTATAATATCTTCCATTCCTTCATTTTCTTCTCTCAGACCTTTTGCTTTAGTCTCAATCAAATCACTTAGTCTCAATCGAATTACTTTGTATAAATCAATTTTCAGATGGAGGCTTTCAAGAATGTGTTTGGTTCTCTCCAGAAGGGTATAAGCAAGGCACGCCAGTGGACATGTGAGTTGAATGCTTTGAAACACAGCGAAAGAGATTTGTACTTTCATCTGACATTCTGTACTTTCCGAAAAAAGCCATACGTCCTCGCCGAGGTCACAGGAGTCAATTGCAACATACCTATCGGTCAGACTTAGAGGCAGCGTACTATGGCGTCGAATTCCCATTCCTTCATAACATGGCCGAGAGCTATGAAGGATTAACTCCCGAGAACGCCTCAGCTCCCATGACATACGAGTACAACAAACCTATCTCTACTACCACCAATCAAGCTGTTCCGATCCCAGACACCATTCTCACTATTGATGTGGTCTCCAATCTGGCAGAAGCCCTGTCAACTGATATCACGACGACAATCAACAATCAAACAGATACTCATACGTTCGAACCTACCAAAGAGCCGCTTGATTCCCTTTTGAACTCTGCTGATGCAATCATCTCTGACCCCATCTCAGCAGTTGGCAATGTAATGACGCCTAGAAGCATATTCTTAAAACGCCGGCGAATGGAAGTCGTGGATAAAAACATCAATGGTGAGTTTTTGATGACCGGCCCACAAGTTCTTTCACATATGTTATGTCTTCTGTGGTATATGCTGAGAAAGTTTGTGTCTTTTCAGGATCTTCGGAAACCAAAATGACGGACAATCATATTCATAAACGCCCAAAAATCGCTCTTGACTTATCGCTCTCTATTGGTCTGGACCACTCAACTCCAGCGGGGCCGCATCATAATGTTCATACTCTCATCAGCTTCAACACAATTTCACCACGTCACGCAACTGAAACCCATCTCAACTCTCACAATTCTGAGGCTCCCCCTACTCAAATTTTGATATCCATCGATCACAAAACAACTCGCTCTAAAGACATTAGTGGTCTTGATCACAATTCCTTTTCGACCCCTCCTGCTGCAATCACCTCTGATCCGATATTGGATACAGTTCATGTCAAAGTCTTTGACCAAAAATGTGAAGGTCGGTTAGACTTACATTCCCACCCTTATTCTAAACTTATATTTCAGGTATCCATATGCTGATTGAAGCTGGATGCTTGTAGTTCCAGTTCCACCAGTTCATCAATCTCAAACAAATGAATCTTCCGATCACCCAATCATCCTAGGTCCTCCTCATTCTACTTGTTTTGTTGAACAATCCGATGGTCCGTTACACCCCTCTTCATTATCATTCTTTCTGCGGTTATTTCATACTTGCAATTTAGATATCCATATGCTGATCGAACTCTCATGTGTCTAGTGCTGATGACACCAGTCCATGACCATCAAAACATCAAATCGTCTGATGACTTGATGATCCTAGGAACTCCTTGTACTCCCACTTTTGTTGAACAGCCCAATGGTCCGTTATGTTTCTTCCAATTATATGTTCTTGGGATCCATATGCTGATGTGATTTGGACGTGCTTAGCACCGATGACACCAGCTGGAACCCATCAACAAATCGATTCTTCGGATGAAGCAATGATTCTGGAGACTCCTTGTACTCCAGTTTTGGCTGAAAACCACAATGGTGAATGAGACTCTTCCTCATCAATATTCTATTGAAGTTTGACGCTTAGGTTGAGGCTAGTAGACTGTTTAAAGTTGTGTCGACAGCCGTTGGTATCTCATGCAACTGCAAAGACCGAATTGACCACTTTATGCATGAGGTCTTTGAAAACGTGGAGAGTATAGCAAAAGGACAAAACCATTTTCAGTCTTGTGCTCTTATCAGGATTGATCAAAGGCGTCGCAGTATGTAGTATGAGGATCATTTTCATCCAAGCGAGCCACAGTCAAGACTCTTGATTATATTGTTGTTTGTTGTGTGTTCTTATACAAATTTCAATCCCATTCTTAAGTTCTGTGTTGGTGTTCTTTTCTCCTGTATATATCCATCTTATTCTCCACATTTTATTTTCCCAGTTTTGTATAAAGTTTTGGTATAAAGTTTTGAGCTTGTGTTAAATCGGTTGATTGTTGATAGTTTTTTATGTGTTTAATAATTTTTCCTGTGAATATTGCGTTAGTGATCATATTTCTTTTTGAAAATCACCTAGGCTGAGCCAAAACAATACACGCGTTACAGTTGAAGCCATGGAAGGAGCATGCTTCAGATCAAGTTAAGACAGTTTTGGATGTCGCCCCAAGTGGAAACAAATCCTTGGGCGCTCCACAAGTTTGAAATTAGAAACAAATCAATAACATCGAAAAGATATCGTGGAGCAACATCATGAGGGTGCTGCACGGCTTTGAAAATATTAGAAACATCAGCAGATGAAATTCTCCAATTCAAAAAATAAGTTCCAATTTTGTAAAAGCTCATAAAATGGCTTTTGAAGGCACAGTGGAGATAAAACAAAAAAGCTACTTCGATGACATCAAAAAGGAAATGAGGTACATAACATCAAGAAAGATAATCACGTAGTATTCCAGCAGCAAGACTGTTCACAGGTGAGATAGAGATGAAAAAGAGCAAGGCATAGTGAAAAATGAAACAAAAAAGCTACTTCAATAGCATCCAAAAGGAAGTAAGGTACATAAGATCATGAAAGATGAGAACGGAGTATTCCAGCAGCAAGCATATTGAAGAGCAAACAGTATAGACAGGTACCAGCATGATCGATATCAACAACATGATATACAAGACACATGCCATTCAACCACCCGCTATAACGTGTACAGCTACTAGCAATAACAATCAGATAACCCCACGACTACATAACTTTTATGAGAAAAACAGAAGTGAAGTTAGCAAAAAGGCGGACTTGATTAGATGTATGTATGGAAGGCGGCTCCATAACTCGCCACAATGTGTACTTCATCAAGATTGAATGGTGTTCAAATTCCATAGAACACGCCATACCTCTGTGCAACATGGTCTTCAAATTTATTGAGTATTTGTCTTTTCGAAGCTTGCTGGACTATGCAGTGACCAGGTTTGAAGTGTTGAATTAAGTGGCGAAGATCAAAGTTCGGAATCAAATCTGGGGCGTGTTGAACTCGTGCTGATAAATGTTCTAAGATTGAAACTTTCAAAGCTTCTACATTGCTAATTCTAGTATTTACGGCTGCACTGTATTTGATAATTTAGAAAAAAGTCAGTTTTCAGAAACTTGATCAATTGAACAAAAAGTGAAAAAATAAAAAACTCAACATATCGCACCATAAAGTTTGATATTAGTCTGTAAACCAAAATCAAACACATTCACATCAATCAGTCAATCGATCACAAAAGAGAGAAACCGAGAAAAAAAAGGTATACACAAGGATTCGTGAATTCATAAGATTTTTGTATATGATTTTGAATTTCAGCTCGACCGGATACTTTTAAACTATTTTGCCTCAAATTCAAATTGTCGTCTTGGATCAAATCAGAGATAGTTAAATTGGTACCATTTATAATCGCTTGATTTGATTATGATGAAGATGAAACTGATAAATGGTTTTCAATTTGATTTAAGATTGGTAAATATAATTCACGATGAAAGTGATCAGAATCATATGAATTGGTTGGTGATGAGGTTACAACTGTCAATTGCAAATACGGCTAGAATTTGTCGCTTGCCAAGAAAGCCAACAAGGAAAGGGTTAGTAAAGATCTGTGTGTCGGCAGGCTGTTAATGTAGGAGAGTGACGTACTGAAAGTTTGATCGCTCTCTCGCAGAAAGTGATCACATATGAAGGAGTAGAACAGTCAGTCTTTTGATTCGTTATGTATCTAGAAGGAAGGGAAATCAGTTCCCTGGAAGGAACTGGATTCCAGACCTAACAGGTAATATTAAGTATCAGTTCCCTGGAAGGAACTGGATTACCGACCTAAAAGGTAATTTTAAGTGTCAGTTCCTCGGAAGGAACTGGATTCCAGACCTAACAGGTAATATTAAGTATCAGTTCCCTGGAAGGAACTGGATTCCCGATCTAAAAGGTAATTTCAAGTATCAGTTCCCTGGAAGGAACTGGATTCCAGACCCCACTACCCTCTCCTGCACTCCCAATTAAGGCTCGGCTACCACAATCTTCTCTTCTCATATTCTGCAAAAGCGAATTCTAAACTCACCATATTTTGATATCGGGATCAAAGAGTGTATTTCCTGTGTAAGTTTTTGCTACACTTCTCTCCTGCTTTTACGAAGCTGCTTTCTTATGTTATTGCTTCAATTCGATTTCTTTTCCAAACCTTTATCACAAGTTCACTGATTTTCTTTCAACCTTTCATCAGGAGTTTACTAGTAAAGTTCACCTTCCAAAGAGATTGTTTCTCATCTGGGTTCTGCAAGTTGATATCTTTATATCCCAATCTTCTTAACACTCAAAACCGAATTCACCTCCATATCCTTACAAATACCAACCACAAATTGTGAGTCTAGCACGTCTTTCCTCATATTCATTCACTGTATTTGAGCTCTCTTTTTGCTTTTGTTCAATTTTGCCTTCCCACCTATCTCCTTACCAGAAACTGGACTGAGTCGTATCTTCTGTGAAAACATCTCATTCTACTACTACTGTAAGTTTTCAATCTTTCTTCTCTCATCCTCCTGTTCCGATCATTTCCCCCCCCAATATGGTCTGTGATCTTCTATAGTATTCAACTAATCAGTCGCCTCTCTGCTCTTTCTGTTCGTTTTGCTTATTTATCTTAGATGGGTCGAGCCGAAAAGGACCAGCCGCCAAAGGCGGCTTCCCACGCACAACCCTACTTGTCCAGCCAAAGTCGTAGACCTGAGTTTAGACGGTCACTTGCTCGAAGTCTGGGATTGCCAGAAGATACCACCTTTATCTTTCGGGATAACAGATACAATCGGCCAAAAGGAGATTATCTGGAAAAGCTGAAACTGAATTTTGGAACAACGGCAGTGATAGATAAAAAGGACACCTCTTTGATACTAGCAGTCCGATGCAACAAATTCACGGAGATGAGTAGTCAAGAAAGAGCTTCCTTTTCCTCAGCGATCTCGATTCCTTTTCTGCATGCTAGGGCTCGAAACACAAACACCCTTCATAATTCAATTCAGCTCTTCATTCTGGCACTGCTCTATTGGGGCTGGATGGGCTGCTGCGGGTGGAGGGGCAGTTCCGACACAGGTAAATCCATAGGTCAGTTTCTTTGGTTTGTAGATGTGATATATAACAACAATGCACTGACCCGATAGCAATCTGGAATAGGAACTTACGCTCTCAGACACTTCACTTCCCAGAAGGGGGAAAGGATAGAGGAAGACCGTAAGAGAATGACCGATTTCCATCGAGTCCGGGACTTCTGGGCCGAACGATTTTCCACGCTTTGTCTCTCAGCTTTCAGCGGAAGCAAAAATTCCTGGCTTCGACGATTTGAAGTGGCAACATACCAACAACGGGCAGGTATTTGCCTCTAACCTGGTGGTAACTTGTGACGGATTCCGCAACTGTGAACATGTAGATGATCACGATCATACAAGATACTCTTTTGGAATGTTCTGTTTGATTGATCGTGATACAGGAGTGCCTTACCAAGTTGAAGGTTTGTTAAGAAAGGAACGAGTGGAAGGCGGGTGTTTTCTTCTCGAAGATTTTGGCATTGAGGTTGATTTCGAAGGCTGTGATGGGATAATAGAGATGGTCTGGGACACCAGAGTTAGTACCAGCTTTTAATCACCTCTTTCCTTCACTTTTGCATCACGGACATCTGCTAAGTCATGCTTTGTGATCAAACAGGTACCACACTACACCGATCCCTCCAAGTCCTTTGATTCCAATGGAGACCCAACCCCTGCGCCATCATGTCAAATAACTCGCTTAGGATCTTCTTGCCAGATCTCCGAGTCCCTGGTGGAAAGAATCCAGATTCTTCACAACAAGAAGGGAAAGATGTCGAATGAGCAGTGGGAGATATTTATGCGTGAAAAAGTCAAGACTTACGAAGACGAGTGTGAAGAGAAGTCAAAGCATTGTACCGATGACAAGGTGAAATTGCCAAATGGTAAAGCCACTGAAAAGTCATCAAAGAAGTCAGTTAAGAAGAACAAAGGAAAGCCAAAAAAATAAATGCTTGAAGTTTTGACACCATTTTGTTCTATTAGCCAAGCACACAAGTCAAAATCCTCTCTTTCACTAGTTCTTCATCCAACTCACTAAAAATCAAAATTCTCATTGTTCGAAGATTGTTCTCTTTTTTCTTCGCTCTCATCAGTTTTAATCTTTTGTTTTCAAATCATATTACATATTTTAGATCATGAGAAGAGGGGCAAAAGTTGAGGAGATGAAATAATCAGACGTTTGAGCAGTTGATCTATGAGTGCGAATTTTTCAACTTTTATATCTCATATTGTTGTTTCTACTGCTTCTTTAACTCTGAATAATATGCATTGTCCAATACATATTATTCAGTGAGAAATCACAAGATTCACGTATTGGAACAAGGGAAAGGCTCCCAGAATTTGAAATATTCAAGAACATCAAAATTTCCTTCAAGTTTGTTCCATCAAGCAAGGAATACACAAAGTCAGGAAGTATGAACGGAGAGAACTATGTCCGCTACAAAATTTTAAAATGGCAACTGGTGTAGTAAGCACTTGAAAGATACTGAAAGCGGATGGAAGGGACAACAAAAATTAAAAAATTCCCAACAAGATTTGAATTTGAGGTGTATTCTTCATTCAAATGGGATAGCATGATCCTAATATGAACAAATGGCAAAATAAAATAAAAAAGAAGAAAAAGAAACATGTATAGCATAGACAACATAGAAAACACTAATATATAAACAAATGGCAATGTAAAATGAGAAGAAAAAAACACAGATAACATAGACTCTTGGTCTCATCCAGTGCAAAGATTGGAAGGATAGCTAATAGCAGGACGTATATGGATATTAGCAAGAGAAAAGCAACATCAGTGTCTTCAACGCAATGTATCAGGGCAGGAAGAGCTGGGAAGATAAAATTTGAAAGTATAAGAAAGAAACTTGCTACTCACATATCCGGGGGTCTTAGCCATATAAGATTCCATACTCAGTCTTCACAAGATCTTCGTATTTCTGAATAAGATCAGTTTTTGACACCCTTCTAGGAAGGTAGTAACCAGGATCGAAGTGATTGATGAGAGCTCGAAGTACTTTTCGAGTGGTGAAGTAATCCCAAAGATTGCAGTCGGGGAAGATAAACCTGATAAGACTATCTGGTAAAGTGAACGCTTTGCGCCAGAATAGTGGACTTTCTTCTGCGCAGGGGGTCATTCTGCGGTTTCTTTTGATAACCCTAGGTTGAACGGGGTGATGTCCACGTTGGCCTCTCCTGGCATTGTGTCGACGCTGGTGAATGATTGGGGAAGTAGCACGGCGGTTTTGAGTTTGACTACGTGTGCATTGCATTAGGGAAGTAACACCTCGGCTGTTTCGAATTCGATTAATGACCATCACTAGACCATAAATTGCTTAAATTAGCTAGCCCAAGATGATCGTCATAACATACAGTAGACAGTTCATACCTTGTTTCTGATAAATTTATCTTGAATGACCAAGTAATCTTTACTAGGTTGAATGATCAAAATCTGCTACAAGCAGAAGGGTAAGCCAGAGTATAGGGAACACTCGTGAAAGAAGACATATATACCCCAGGAAGTGTAACTTACTATGTTAACTAAACTACAAGCGCACAGCAAAAGCAATTCACAAAAGGTGATCCAGTCCCGGATGTCTGAGCATGGTCAACCCAGAGAACAAGCGCGTGAGCAAGAAACATAGCATGACAGAAGACTGGGCTGGAATAAGACTAACACAGATTCTAGAACACTCAATCGAAGCAAAACACAAATTCTCGACAACTCAATAATGGGTGAAGTAGGTTAGGAGAAGAGTTGGTTGGACAAGTTGGGAGAATCAAAACTCATGTACCTTATATATTCTATGACCAGTTCTATCCAGATATCTTCCATGACCAGCTCTATCGGGGTGAAGGTCTTTGCTCAAAGGCCCACAAGTGCTTCTTCCTGTGTTCAAATGTGTTGAAGGGGAGTAAGTAATATAGTTCTGCCGCTTAGAAATTGATCGTGATTCGCCCGTGGTTCAAGAGGAGTGGCAGAGGTGTGTGGTGGGTTATTGTGGTATCATCCATGTTTCCCCGCGGCGAAGGTTAGTTTATTGTGATCTACGGAGAACAAAAAGGAAGGAAAGATTTAGATTCCTGAAAACCACAATAGGCTAGCACTTAGGCATAAGCGAGAAAGAAAACTACGTACGGAAGATTTGACTTTCAACACCCCAAAACCCAAAAAGGGCTTGCTCCAATGATGCCAAAGACATGGCCATAGAACGGGGGGAATGGTTGCATTCTAGATCATCTGTATAACAACAAAGTATCTGTCCCGTCTGTCAGCCTGAGACCAGGGCAATTGAAAAGAAAACCGGGCTTTGGCACTATGACGGGTTGCTTCATACCCGGCTTTTAGATATGACAGGACACATCAGACCCACCGTCTGGACTATGACCGCTCAAAAACTAAATTTGGCGGCTTTGTTCGATTTCTCATCTTGCGGAGCCGAAGGAAAATCATATCAAACCTCATCTCGCTATCAACTTCGTTTTCATCTTGCACACCTCATCTTTGATGGAATCATCGTACATCTTGGGTTCACTACGGGTTTGCACGTGCATTGAATTCAAATGCTCTCACGAGAAATTTGTATACGAGGGCTCCACGTACCCAGGAAGGGCGAGAGACCACCGCAACGGACGATTGCATGACACAAAAGTCCGGCGAGCTCGTCAAAGTAATACTGGCCTGGGCCATAGTGGCGGCTTTGGCGTTTTTGGTGGAGTTAACACAGGCCTGGGAAATGTAAGCTCCAGGTTTTCCGGCATTGAACACTGCATATCAAAGCTGATTCAACATGTGTCTTCAGAGACGACGATCCTTGAGCACTGGCAATATACCACGTCAGAGACTTCAATCCCCCTCACACACCACTGAGGGATGCTCACATAGCATATCTATAGACGCTTGTGATTTGGCTCACGAAAATCCTCAAAGGGGAAAAGAAGCCTCAGCCGATACCGAGACATCATCTTTGATTCAGTTTGCTACCGAGGCTTTTCAAACACAGAAAGTCTATCTACTTTGTCCTTCCAGCCTAATTGCGATCCTACAGATTGCCAAAGCGAGTATCACAGGCGGCGCCAGCGATAGTGAAAGTAGATCTGCGCTTCATTTATGCAAATTACAGGCTAAGCAGACTGCTATTGAGAACAATATCAGCGGACGTGCTTACTGGGACGACATTCCAACAACTGTACCAAGACTACACAGCTTACTCAATCTCGATGTCAGCCTTACAACCGAAATATGCTGTCCTCTGTGTTTTGCACTTCATGGGGAAGCAGGTCTCAATGACGACACTGGAATCAAGCTTCAATGTGATAATATGCGTTTCTTGAAGGACCCCGAAAGAAAGATTAAAGACTTAAAGGAGGTCTTCCGGAGCAAATGTAACAAGGATCTGTATAAAACTTCAGGCTCCACATCAGTTCCAAACCGAGTTTTTCACTATCAGTCATTACGAAAATGGCTGGCAAGGATGATGTCCCTACCCGGCTTTGAAGACATGCTAGATTCCTCTTTGTCACCCAGGTCTAACAATCCTTTGCTTATGACCGACATCTGGGACGGAGAAATCTGGAAGACCTTTCAGCGTGATGGACAGTCCTATACCCTCAAGAGCGGTAATCTAGTCTTTGCTCTCTACGCCGACTGGTTCAATCCCCATGGCCAAGGAGCAAAGCGACATTTTTCCAGCGGAAACCTCCTCTTGATCTGCCTCAACTTACCTCCTGACGTCCGGTACCATGAAGAATATATTTTTCTTTTTGGAACCATCCCCGGTCCGCAGGAACCTCAAACCGAACAAATCAATCGTCTTCTGAAGCCTCTAGTAGATGAATTCCAAGACTTTTGGAAGGGAATTTTCTTCACGTGTACTTCCAGCCATCCCCGTGGAAGAAGGATTCACGCAGTAACACTGTGAACATCATTCAACTTCCCCAAGTTGGAAGAGGAAAATGGCTTAGCAGGGTGCTCAGCAACACTGTTCTGTGCACACTGCGGACTCGACAGGAACCAAAGGTCGGAATTAGATTCTCAAAAGTGGCCCCAACGGCTTGATCATCAGCAACACGCCAATGAATGGCGGAACGCCAAATCACTTGCCGATCAAAATTCAATATTCGACAATTACGGTGTTTGATGGTCCATACTCTCTGAGCTGCCCTATTGGCAAGCGATTAATTTTACTACAATTGATGTTATGCACAACATTCTTCTGGGAATGTTGTGTGATCATGCCACTTCCTTTCTTGGGCTTGCTGTTACGGGGAAAAAACTCAAGGCTAAACAAGCGTTGGATTCAACAAGGGTTATTCAACAAACTCCAAAGGATGATACCCCCTTCCTCGAAGAGGTGGTGCCGAGTTCATCAACCTCTGTTCTGGAAACCTCTGCGGTATCACCTCATAGATCAAGTTCTTTAGTTGAAAAAGAATCTCAGTCAGACAATTCTTATAATGTACAATCAGCTTCATATCATGCTCTGAGTGATCCGAATGCTTCTGATGGACAGTGTGTAGTGGCAGTGTAAGCATCAATTAAACTTTCTCCTTCAAGACATCAAACTGACAAAGTATAATTTTGTAGTGGTAAAAAAAGAAGCAGGTTCATTCCCCCCATCAGCGACTCTGATCCTCACTCCTCTAGTAGTATCACATCTCGAAAATCGGATCCACAGCCACTCCGACGTTCGCGACGCCTAGCATCGAGCTCACTTAAGAGCACAAACTATGTAAAAAAGAAGATAAACCGACAGCGAAAACTGAACACAACCTTGCCTGATTCACCTGATTCCGACTCTACAGTACGCGCTTCTTCAAAGCCCCCCCGCAAGAAGAGAGTTGGCTTAACTAGCAACAAAAAAAGTTCCGACAAGAATCCATTGAATCTGACAATTTCAGACCTTATCCGCCTGCAAGAATCAATTGTAAGCGTGATCACTCCCACCTGGTTGACTAAACCTCCCCGAATGTTGGGCGCTGCAAGTGCTGGAAGCCTCAAAGCATCCGAATGGCACTCTCTTTACACCGTTTACATGGTTCTTTCGACAATTCCAGATATGTATCATTCTACAGAAGCCAATCGTCAAACAATTTGTACAAGTATTCTTCAAGCTGCAGAAATCACAAATTATACGCTATGCCGTACCTTCAGTTGTGATGATGGTGATCAACTAGGAGCAAAATTGCTACTCTACCGCGAAAACCTACAGAAACACTGGCCAAATGTGAGTGTAAAGCCAAACCTGCACATCGCTCAGCATCTTCCACAAATTGCCAGACTTTTCGGTCCTCCAACCTACACCGCCAGTTGGTCGGGCGAACAAATGAACGGCATAATGATCAAAATACCCAAAAATCGACACCCGGGTGAGCCTAAAATTGACCTTGATAGAGACCTTCATAAAAAAGGATTGCTGATTCTTTTTTCTCCTTTCACAGAGGACTTAGATAAAACAATGTGCACCTCTTTCATTCGGCGAGGCCTTTTAAAAGTCATGACAAAAAGCGCGCCAAATTTCCTTAGTAAGGCAGACAAACAGATCAAAACCCAAGTACTTGAACGTCTGACTGGGAAGAATGAACCCAAGTGGTCTGTCTTGACGTCCCTTGACATTGATACATATCAAAGCTGGTTGACTTGCCTCAATCACAATGTCAAGGGTCAGTACGGTATCTTTTCTGATTCTACTGAGCCCAATACACTTGAAAATCCGACCCTTCTCAATTCAGTACAAACCATAAAACGGCTTCGACTTTCCGGAAAAATCTTCAGCATTCATTCTGCTCATCAAGGTAATAGTATGGTGGAGTTCAGGCATCAGGGCCAGCGTAGATTTGGTTCTATTGTGTCACAATTCCGTGCCTCGCAAATTCCAACAACCTTTTTATTAATATCACCGTACTCTTGCTTAAGCTCAACTGACTTCCCCCATAACTTTTACCACAATCATCCCAAGCTTCACGCAACAGTTCTTTATGACAGGGTAGAGACCGCTGTTGTGGTTGACAGTCAAAACCTGATGGGTCACGTTGCTGTTAAGAAAAACCCTGCTGGGAGCTTTGGTATAACAGATCCCACAGTATCCGTTGTCAGCTTGAAAAACATGGTTATTAATATCATCTTCACCACCTTCCCATAAGCACGCAGCTGATCTCATTTCATTGTAGATTGTTCTTGCTCCCTCTGACAATTTAGAGTGATGTGATTGGGGAGAACCAGTTCAATATTCTTATAAACATCAACCTGTATCTATTCATATATATTCTTGAGTAGAGATTGAGAAGTTCTAACACGCAAAATGTTACATTCCAATACAAGTCTTGGTAAAATTATATAACGTCTTGAAGAAATATTAATAATCATATGATTTCGGTGAAATATTGACAAATATCATTTCTATCAAAAAATGCCCAATCTATCAAATCAGATTGAGCAATCTGAACCTAGTATGTATAATCAATTATGACTTTGATGCCGTCTTGGGCGCCTCATCTAATTCTGATGTTGACACCGGCTGTGAGCGGGAAGATCAAATAGAATTTTTGGCTGAGACCGGGACTATGGACGGAAATTCTTTGTTTGCTTTTGTTTGCCCTCATGAATGTAGAAACCAAAAAAACTCATGTTTCGTTTTGAAATTTTGATTCACCTTTATTTAGTCATTACTCTTATCTTTCCTCTGATACAATCTAACGCGAGCGGCCAGATTCACTCATTGCAGATCCTATCCACCATCATTGCGAGTGAAACGACTGAAACCACGCTCGCTATTCAACTCCAAACAAACAACTCTCTACAATACCACCAAGTCTAATCTTACCACAAAGGGATTACTCGCGGTCCCGCTTCATGATGATTAGGGCAACTTCACTGAGCGCACTCGCTCATCGGGAGGAGTTCTCTCACTTCGGTCACAGAAGATTTATAAAAAAAACAGAAGGGGGTCTGTCGAGTTTGGTCACAGAAGGTTTATGTAAATAAACAGAGATTGTAAAACATGCAGATCAAACGCCGCGGGTGCGTTTGTTTGACATACAGTGTAGCCTGTGAGAACAGAGGAAACATAAGCACAAAAGGATTGGATTCCAACCGTAGAACTGTGGTGCTACAGCTCTACGGCTCAGGAGTCTAGAGCATAGATGTTGTCCTATGTGCTTCTACAGCTCAAGATCCTATAGCAAAGTTATTGTCCCTATGCGCTTCTTTAAAGACGCTATCTTGAATGTGTCAGTCTGCTAGCAAATTTCTTCTTCCATAGAAACTTGTCCACCGCTACTTGTTCATTTGAATTTCTACTACACTTTTTCACCGATCTTTTGGATAAGTCTTGATTATAATTCGTTCTTGTTTTCAACTTCATGTCTGACAACATTCCTTCTACAAGTCTCTCAGCCCTGGTGGCCAACCCTCAACAAAACTCTACGTTCAGGGACGATTTGACTTCCCCCCCCTACTCTCCTCGTATTATTACTTTTGATGAGTTTAATGAATATAGCAATTCTATCATGATGGAGTCTCCGCCAGCGGGTATTGACACATGTCATGAGGATTGTGAGCCAATCTATTAATGCCTCTCACACTCTCGTCTTTCTCATTCCAACTTTTTTTTGACAGATGTACATGGACCGGATGGCGAATCCATCGTACAGAGAGGCAAAAGGGCTCATTCTCCAATCTGTTCAGGTACGTTTGTATTGTGTCTTGAACCAGCACCCAATAATATTGTAATTGTTCCTTATGGTATTATTCAGTCCTTGAACCACCAAATAAGCGCCAAAAGGACCATTCAGATATGACTGACCTCAAATCAGAGCTCAGCGGTGAGTTCTGATGCATTTCTATCTCTATTTCGTTTTTGAACTGCCAATGACACTCTTCCCTATACACAGCCATCATGAGCTCTTCTATTCCTGCTATGGCTTCAACAGATCTACCTCTTTCAAGCTCCCAATCGGTTGTACCGGGCAGCCAAAGTGAACACACTCTGGAGGCGGTTCCTTCAGTTCCTTCTCCTCCTGCCCTTTCTTCAACTGTTTTTTCGACAGATCTACCAGCGTTGAGCTCCCAATACGCTGTGCCGAGCAACTCAAGTGATCACTCAATCATTTCTGTACCAAGCAGCCATTGTGATCACTCAATCGTTTCACGTATGTTTCAATGTATCTACTCATTCAATGTTTCATTCATTCTGATCCATGATTTATGCTTCACAATACAGAGGTGGTACCTTCTACTCCTGCTCTTTCTTCGACAGATATACCAGTGTCGAGTTCCCAATCAGTTGTACCAAGCAACCGAAGTGATCACTCCATCATTTCACGTATGTTTCAATGTATCTGTTTACAATATAAGCTTTGATTGATTTTGATCCACAATTCTATGCTTGATCAGTGTCTGACGTGTCCAACATTTTACCGGGAGTCCTGGGGCAAAGTCCTACTCCTGAATGTGTTTTGAGCAGCAAACGGACTCATTCTCAGATTGGTTCAGGTTTGTTTCAATTCAAATTGTCCATTCTTGCGGATGCCAAATCTAACTTTTGATCCCATCTCTGTCTTTCAGTGCCTGACTCATCAAACAAGCGCCAAAAGAACGAACAGCGTGAGTTACTGCTCACCATTTGTATATCATCATCATCCAGTTAATGTTTTATAATCACGCAAATACAGCAATTATTCCACCTGTCAGATCTAGAATTCCCACTTGCAGAATACCTTACAAAGTCTCAAACGGAATAGTCCACAGAGTTTCAAACGTTCGCTCCACAATACCCTCCAAATTATCTCTCTCAAATGAACGCCGCCCGCATCCAAAAGCTCCAAGTCAAGAATCAAATATACGGTCGGCCAACATTCCTCGTAATTGTTTAACATCCTACAAACCTTCAACAAGTGCTGGCAACCCTCAAACCACAAAGCATCAAAATCTAGCGAATACAAAAAAGGATCAAAATCTAGGGAATACAAAGAGGGCTGAAGGTTGGTTTCAACACCGTATACGTACCGCGCTCCCTCCATGACTGATTTTTTCGATTTAATGCGGTCCTTCTACCAAAGACATCATTCGTAGTAAACATTTAATATCCTACAAGCCTTCAACAAGTGCTGGCAACCTTCAAACCATAAACCATCAAAATCAAGTAAATACAAAGAGGGTTGAAGGTTTGTTACGACACTATATACGCACCACACTCCCTCCAAGACTGATTTTTTTTATTCTTCACGGTCATTCTACCAAAGAAACACCGTCTACGCGGCGATTTATTCAACGTCCCCCCAAGGAATTGCCTTTCACACGCCAAAAAACCCACGTTGGACACACAGAAAGTCCGCTTCCGTCTGGCTCGTCTGCCCCCCTGCCTGTACAAAGCTGTGAGTTTTCCTAAGCATTGTACAAACCTCACCTGAGAAAAATGCCTAACTTCATATGTGGTCGCAGCTTCAACATGCGATTGCCGTCAATTCACAAGCAGTGTCGTGAACAAGATCAATGTTCACCTCAAATCTGTGCAGGAGCTGCTTTTGCTCTTGTCTAAGCCAATGTGAACATTCAAATTGTGTTTCAAGAGATTTCAATCAAAACTCATTGAGTAAATCATATGTTTTGAGTATATAGTTTTGTGTATATAGTGATTTTCCAGATTATTTTCTCTTAACTTTCCATTTGGGTCTGTACATCGATATTCCTTATCGTGTTTCAAGAGATTTTGTGAACCTTCAATCAAAACTCATCGAGTGAATCATATGTTTTGGGTATATAGTCTTGTGTATATAGTGATTTTCCAGTTTGTTTTCTCTTACCTTTCCATTCGAGTGTGTATATATTCCTTATCTTGGTCCACAAATCTTTTCGCTTATCTGGAAATAAGTCAAATGGTTCTTCTTTGCTCTTTTTCACGTCCCCAGAATGTGTCTTAAGTTCAATCAAACATCTTAGATCCGCAATAAAGATAGATAGATCGAGGATGAGTTGGCTTCTGTCAAACAAATGATCAATGATCTTGACTTTGAGTTAACTTTGAGGTAACTTTGAGGAAGATCAACATCAAAATGGTAAAATCCAAAGATAGAGCATTAGCGCTCGAAAATGCTTGAAGAAACAAACTCTGAATTAATATAACAAAATACATTAGTACTAATCATTTCTTTGAATTAATAGAACAAAATATATTTGTACAAATCATTCCCAGAAGCAGAAAGAGACAAAAATTGAAATTAGGCAAACTGAAAGAACTGTGTCTGTCTCAAGCGTTTATCTTTCTCGAGTCTGATCAAATTGGGATCTTTCTCAAGTCTTTGATGAAGTCGAGTGATACCTCAAACATCAGTCAGGGAGTGATGATATGTATAAATCTACATACAGCCTATGTTTTATGTATTGGTTGTAAATCACAACAAACAAACAAACCTTTGTCCTCAAGAAGTCCATGGTGGCTCGGCCTCTTATGTCACCAAGCTCAATATCGTGTTCCCTTTTCATTTCAACTTCAAAACTCGACATCAACTCTTCAAATATTGTTTCCGGAATCACCTCTTCCAAGCGGAACTTTCCTACAACCCTGTTTGCTCTCATTAACAATGGCTGGAAGCCTGCCCGATCTTGGGGAACTTGATTCTTTGTATGATCCCCATGAAGGCTCGATCATGTCACAACAACTTTCTGATGTGGACATGTCTGTCGAAGGTAAGACAACCAAAAAACAAGACTTCCCACACAGACCTCTTCTCACCGCCCTTCTCTCAAATAGAAGCTGATGATGAAGACAACCAACAACCGATTCCAATGGATGCAGAGCCAGAGCAAGCGGATGATAGTAAGTCTTCATTGCTGCTGCAACGCAAGAATATACTCAGAATGTACTCACATGACATGCTGCTTCTGTTACTACTCCATGTAATTCATCAGACAAAGCCGAAGATATTACACCCTCTCGCCGTCGATACAGTCACCACTTCGATGGACTGTCTCAAGCCCCTCAGCCCCCAAACAGAGCTGCTCAGGAGTATTTGAATCGTAAACAAAAATCATCTCTGCGACCAGTGGTTAAGGAAAAGCCACAATCTTGGCCATATCCTTATTCGGATCTTGGTATGTGAAACCGCTGGACCAATCCTCGTTGTGGTTGACTTCTGACATACTTTCTTCATGTACACTGCATTCAGCCAGCTGCAGGCGCCACCAGAGGAGTTTTTCCAATGAAGCCACCCTCCAGCTTACAGCTCATGTCAGTTATCACGTCTCAGCTGATGTTGGTCTCAACCTGACCAGACACTTGATCCGCATTCAAGCAGAGTCCGAAAGATCTGACGCCTACTAGTCCCTCTCCCCTATCCGCCATCCCCGCGCCTCATATTACTGGGACCCGACTTGGTCAGTTCTACAATTCTTCTCACCAAAAACTCACCTGCGAATGATTTCACAGTTTATGTATATGTCCTTTAGATGCAATTGACGAAGAAGACGAACCGGTAAACAAAGGCGTGTCGAATCAAGGCATGGATGTAATTGAAACGCCTAACCCTATGAGTGAAGAATACGAGATGAATGAAGAATATGAGAAGATGGACGAACAATACAAAACACAAGAAGAATACAAAATAACAGAAAAATATGAAGTAAATAAAGAATACAAACAAGGAATTCAGGGTGACAACTGTGATATACCTCATACAGGTCCGGATGGTTCAGCCCCAAAATTGAACGCTGATCCCTTCCATGGCGGCCTGAGTGAAAATCAAATCAGAGATCTTATTCCAAACGATGGTTGCTCAACTGAGCCTGTTGCGAAAGGTGTCAATCTTGACACAATTAATCAAGGTTTGATCCGTAGCCTCCTTCACTTTTCACAAGAAACTCTTCTGAAACTTACAAGACACTCGTATCAAATTTCCGACCATCCATCCAGAGCGTGTATTCAATACTGATAACAGGAATTCTGTACGGCGTGGCAAACAGCCGGAGCAAAGACACACTGATCACATTATTTCCGTCCGGGCTGGTAAGCAACCAGAGCGAGAAGACATCAACCAATTCCTTTCCAAACCGGTCCAGCATGTACACCCGACCAAAACGACAAGTTCCAATCCGGCTTCTGATTGTTCTAGTTTAAGTCAAACACTTGATTCTACACGTTCGCTGGGGGCACACCGAAATGAAGGTTTGCACATTTTCTTGTCACGAACAGCGGGTACATAGCATTAATCTATCCATTACTTTTGTAAAAAACTCCAATTTGATCTTATCAAATCAAGATTCTACACAGCCAAGACTTGGTAGGCATTATTCGAGCCGCAAACGTTGGTGGCTTGCATCTGAAGATGATTACTCTTTGAGAGATCGAGACATTCGAAAACACTCAAGGTCTCCACAAGCTTCTCAACAACGTATATGCTCCCCACCACCACAAGTGCGGTTCATAGACCCCACCAATAGCGGTATGTCCTAATATAATGATTGAAACTGAGATCACTGAAAACCCTGCTGAAATTTGAACCAAAACCCTTTTTTGTTTGACACGCAAAGATTCTCAGAGACCAGAAGCTTCCCATCCACTAAGAACCTCGTGCACGAACTACCAGTTTCGCTCTCAGACTGGACGTCAATTGAACCTCCAAGATCCCAAGGGCATTGACATCAATGAATATGAACATGGTAACAAAGCCGAAGGGCGCAAAAGTCGCGAAACTGAGCCGGTTTATCACGCTGAACCCTCCCGTCCTGAATCACGAGATCTTCCTCTCTTTCGCCCCGAATCACCAGACCCTCAGCGCATACCACATCCACCCGAAATAGATACCAGCTCCTCACAGCAGTCAAAAATCCGTCTCCAAAGACGTGAAGATGATCAAAATGTGTGTCAAACTGCCCAGCCGGTTCAGTTGTCAAGACCTTTGGCGACTTCGCGATCCTCAGGACGTCATTCACCCGTTGTAGGGCCCTCCAGAGCATCGCTGAGTGGAGCTGATCAACCGGTTCAGTCGTTGAGACCTCCAACAACGACTTCGCGTTCCTCAGGACGCCATTCGCCTGTGGCAGGGCCCTCTAGATTATCACTAGGTGTATCTGTACGTCAAAATGATCAAGCGGTTCAGTCTTCAAGACCTTTGTCGACTTCGCGTTCCTCAGGACGCCATTCACCCGCGGCTGGGACCTCTAGAGTTTCACTGGGTGTTCCGCCTCTGCACCAACATGTGTCTCAAATTGATCAATTTATACCGTCTTCAATACCTTCAGCGACTCCTCGTTCCTCTGGACGACATTCACCGAGTGTAGGGTCTTCTAGAGCGCCACCAGGCAATATTCTTCATCACCACGTATCTCGAGACCAGCTTTATCAGACGTTAAGACCTTCGGCGACTTCTCAGACATCAAAACCTTCAGCGACTTCACATTCATCAAGAAACCATCTCCCCATTGCAGGGCCTTCTAGGCAATCACCTCAACCAAATCAGATTCCAAGCTCTTCGGTAACATTGCATTCCTTGGGTCGTCATCTCCCCATTGAAGGGCCTTCCAGACCTTCACCTGCACCTCGTCACGAACCTGAAAATCAAGCTTCTGACTCGGAAGGATTGGACCATTCAGAAGCAGACGATTCCGATGAACCTGACGATTCAAGTGATGGTGAACACGATCTTTCCGAGCAGCGCAAGTACCAAAATCGACGAGCGGCACGGAAGTTTAAGGAAAAAAAACATCGGCATCAAAACTCTCGTATGGAGAAGTATGCACGTACTCAACCGGAGCAACCCTCTCAATATGACGCCTTATCCACATCAATTCACGATTACATCAAATTGTTGCTTGGTATTCAGCGCAAGGGCCAAGGACAAAACACCAACCGCTCTTTTTCCGACCCACCCACCAACGCAGAATGTCAGGCATGGGAGCAGCGAAAACTGGATAAGCGCTTACACATTGACAAATGTGTTGACAATGCTGTATCTAAATACATAGAAACACATCCCAATGCAAAGCCCAACCTTATCCTTGCGGTTGAAGCAGACACAGCCGAAGAAGCCATCTCACACATGGAACCAATCGTCTTTGCCTCTCAGATACCAACAGTCATACCAAACCTCAAGTATTCGATCCCTGACCTCAGGACATGCGAAGGAGCTCTAGCTTTGGCTGGCTTTTCCCGATGTGCATTGGACTGGAGGAGCTCGATGAAAACAACTTGGAATGAGGCTGTTGCTGCGCTTATCCTGCAAGAATGGGAGAAGTGCTATCACAGAGGTGGCGCAGACAAGTATACTATCAACAGCCGAAAAGTTACCCCCGAGAATCTACATCTCATCTTAGAACGATGGTTTGAGACCAAAAAACGAAAGTACGTCACACAAGTTAACGATGAAAAAGCACTTTTGGATGAAGAAAACTCTCCGCCATCCGAAGGTGATTCAAGGAATCAGAATCAGAATAGACAGAAGAAAGCCAAAGAAATTCAGGATAAAAGTTGCAGGAAGCGGGCACAAAAGCGAGTGAGTACCTTTTGCTTTAAATTTGAATAAACCAAAGAAGCCATCTGACACACAAATCACATAGGTATGTGAATTCCGTTTGAAAGCAATGAATAAGTATTTCCCAAAAGAGAAACGGTTTTACAACATCATCTCCGAAGTGTCAGTACACTCTGAAGATGAATTTGATTCCTTCAATGAACGGTATCGAGTCGCGCTACCCTGGAGATCAAAGGACTTTGTTGCATTCCTGGGAGAGCTTGATAGCCTATACAAGCTGCTCCAAAAATCTGCACGCGACCGTACCACTGCGGATAAAGTATTAGATCGTGGTGATCATCGAGAAATGGAAAGCCCGCAGAAAGAAGCAAGTTATCCACCTAAAGGATTCCCCAAATCACTTATTGATCAGCGGTATTGGGTCGGCCTTGCCAAGGCTGAGAAAGTAGGACTCCAGCTTTCACTTAAAGACTATAACATCCAACACCTGCTTCAAAAGGCGCTAGACTGGCAAACCCCGGACACATGATCTGTAGATATTAATGCGCGTGTTTCAGATGTTTATGGAGATTGATTTTACCCTGTGATTTTCTATTTAATGTAATATTCGTACTGTAATCTATGTATCTAGACTGCCTTATCAGAGCTAAATTTATTCGCCACCTTTCTCAGACAAATAACAATGATGATTTTGTAATTCATCAAGGCTTTTTGCTACGCGCTTGCATATTTCCTTTAGATCGTGCTTTCAATTTTATGACGTGCATCTATCTTCTTGTCAGCCGATATTTCACAAACATATGTCTTCCAAGGGACCAAGTATCCCGATACGACAGCATTTCAAATCAATAACTGGCTTCCGATTCTTGCTGAAGCCGGTTCTTGGAAGCTGACATATCGTCAGTATGTCACATGTCCAACTCTGCATACTTTTGAGAGGGCTCCAGCCTACAGAAGACGGGTGTCAAACCTGTCTTGAGCCCGGTGGTGTTCATCAATTGCTTCAAATACTCTCTTTGATGTGATAGTAATTATCTACATACAAATTATACATACAAATTATGTTCACACGCATTGAGTGAAAGGCAAGTGATACAGGTTAGGGAGGAAGCAGATGGCGAGAGGGATGAAGCTATTGGTCAAAGAGGAAGCTTATGCTTGTCTTGAAGCTAATCAGCAAGAGGTTCTAAACGTGTTAGGTCAAAAGCTCGGTGGCTGGGGATCGTTGAACGATCAGCTAGTTTCAGCTGCCGCGAAGGCAATGTTTAGTAAAAGGTGATGAGGTGCTCATCTCAGCTGAAGCGCTGCTCGGATAGTCTCGGCGCTGCGCGTTGCTCAACATGCGAGAGTATTGCAGCATAAACAACACAAAAACGCAACACCAGCGTCACAGTAGTTGCGCCCTTGACGTCGAGGGCGCTTTCAACGGGCACAGTGATAGTTCAAAAAGGCTGTGGCGAGCTGACACTTCAGGACTAGTGTCCAGTGATTGCTTTCGTTATCGTTTGGGAGCATCGAGGAGATTTCGAATGGCTGGTCTTGGCTCTGGCGTATGTATTTGAGGTAGCTCTTGACGCTGGCCTCAGCTGGGGTGACGTCTTTGACTAAATGTTCTGGCAAGACATGAAGGTATCCATACGATCCATGGAACATCTTCGTGGTCTGTTCAATGCGAGGGTCATGGATGCGAGCTTGGATATCAATGTTATCAAGAACCAATAAGGGTCTAATGATGTAAGGCTTTGAACTCAATTCTTTAATTGCCTTTTGGGCGGCGAGACCAAGAGTGTCCATAGCCGAAAGAGCCGTCTGACGTGAAGAAGTTAATCCAAGGAAATGTAAATAGTCATTAACACAATCGGAGACACCACATGCGACAAAAGACAGAGAGTTCTGAAGCTGAAGCCCATTGAACCTTTGATTGCACGCATAAGCGATCATGGACAATACGGCCACCGGTATCTGTCGAATGGGGTCCAAATCATCAAAAGGTGAACAACCCTACACAGCAAATTGATCACATACTTGTTGGAGCTTTTGGGCGTCCAAGGTTCTCGATTCGACTTGCACCGAATGAGAGATTCCCTCAAGACTCTCTGCAAAGTTGTCACCTCCAGGTACATTGTCCTCATTTGGTCGTTCTGCTTCTTCTTTCCCGAAATCGTTTGAGCTGGTCTTCGAACGGTTTTTTTCACGAGCTTCATTAGCCTCTTGAATTTTTGAGTAAATCAGTGCGTGGAGGAATGGCATGCTATTGCGAATGAGGTTTGCGCGATCTTCTTCCGCTTGAGGCACCAAAAACGATTCATCAATTTTATTTGCGCTGTAGAAAGCACCTCCCGGAGCTACCCCTTGTGGTAGCTCCTCTCGATTGACAATGTCTTTTGCCTGTGAAAACAATGAGGTTGTCAGTATAGATATCTGGACACAACCATGTGGTGAAAAGTCAAAAACCTCTCTCAAAATGAAGCTGTTCCATCGTTCTACATCAGTTCGGTCGGAACCGTCAAGGATTAGTCTCTTGATGCTGAGCAAGATCTTCTCGGTTGAAGCCCAGCCTGTCAATGTGCCCCAAAATTGGCGTCTCTTGACGCACTCGGGTTTAGTAGAATCCAATAAGTTCTGCAGGAATTTTTTGGGATTAGAACCCAGCTTGTAGATGTAATCATAGATCTCCAATGTACGATTCTTTGTTTTTTCAGGGGCTTTTGGGCCTTGTTGCACTTGTAGGTCTGGAGCGTGTTGGGGTTCCTCGCCAGCTTGCAGGACATTGGTAGGCACATTGCTAGAGCACATAGCGAATACTATTTTAACAGTGAAAATCGAAAAGATAACCAGGCTGTTTGTTGAAAGGGTATGGTATAAGAGGAGATATTGAACGTGGAAAGACGCAGCAAATAGAAGAGGAACAATTGAGCGGAAAAAGTTGAAGCCAAGGAGCAAATACTTTGTTGAACAGGGAAAACTTGGAGAGGATAGAACAACAGGCAAGTTCCCTAAGCTAATAACAAGGCGAGACCAAACATATATAACCGAGAGAAGCCATTTCAGTGTTCACCTTTCGAGTCGCTCTCCCTGCCTAGGCAGCGGAAGCTCTTGCCCAGCCAGCCTCGCTGGTCTACCTGGCTTTGGATGGATTCCAAATTTGCTTTCAAGTTTACATACGCGCAGACCAGCTGTAACCTCGCAGCAAATCAAGATGCCAAATTTCGAAAAGACCCTTTTTGGGCCCCAAAGAAAACTTTTGCAATTGGCGCGCTAGAGTGTTTCTGAGGGAGGCAAAAGATGCGCAAGAAGGAGGCGCGTAACATGTCTGATATACAAGAAATTTCATGATTGGGTGAAAAATAATCAATTGTGGACCCTTTTCTACCACCAAAAGGTGGTTTCCCTTGTCACCAGGAAAAGGGACATTGCATGTAAGTCCCCTCGTGCCTCGGGGGTTTGTTGTGTTTTTTTGTTGGCGTCTTTACCCCGGGGCACTGAGGGCACCTTAGTTAAGTTAGTCTTTGTCCTCTCATCTGATCAGGCTAGTGTTCTCATTCTGAGTCGACTATCCGGCGACATCTACCCATTCCGTGCACCGAACCGACGGATATTTTCAAGATCCGGGCCCGACGGATAATAACCGTCCGGTTTTTTTTTTCAAAAAGCTAGATTCAATAACCGAGCCGGATATCCGCCGGATATCCGGCGCTTTGGTCAAAAAGTCCTCCGTCGGTGGGAATTGAACCCAAAACCGGGGCTACCCGGGTGATTCTTCGGCCGGCCCGGGTCCAAATTGGGCTTATATCCTTTTTCAAACTTCCTATTCCACGAATCCACTCATCAGACCTTATTAATATTTTTAGTTTTTTTTTGTATTTGAACTACAAGGTCGAGTCATTCCCAGAATCTCATTTCTAGAATATACCACCGCTCAATCATCTCAACTATCAATAAACAAACTTCAACGTCTTGCATGCATCATATTGATTGATTGCAATCCACCGCATACCGCCTAAACACCATTATTCTATTCAACTCTAATGGATATGTCTTCAGCCCCAGGGACCATTACAGACACAGCCTCACAAGCCGAGCAATCCGATCTCGGAGACACTTCGACTACTACTTCTCGTCCAAATCCGAGCTGGGTTTGGAGATATTTCAAAAAGCTACCCGATAAAGATTTTAACAAGTGCTTATTTCAAATGGCGGACGGAAACGAATGCGGGAAGGAGCTGGCCCGTGATAAGAAGGGTAGTACTTCATCAATGAAGAACCACCTCGAAATCAAACACGGCATTCGTGATGGTATGTTACCTGAACAAGGTGTAAGGTTGGCGCTTTCAAGAAGGCCAAAACCGGACATGTTGTGAGTTCTAACTCGTGTTTACTGTCTTAAACGATCATCTATATATATTTAAAATATTTTTCACTTTTGTAAGACTAAGCTCAACGTCAACAGCCTCAAGACGAGTGTTTGTTATTTCATCGCCGATTGCGATCTCCCCTTTTCAATAGTCGAAAAGCCTTCATTTCAAAGACTTTTGTCACTCTGTAGTCCTCATGTCACCGGGATGCTCGGCAAACGGACTGCGACAGCTAATCATATGCGCAGAATCTATTATCACTACAAGGAGTTCATCAAGAAGTCTTACTTCGGACCATGTAAAGCGATGGCAATCACTCAAGATGCCTGGACTTCGCCGAACAACGTCCCCTTCATGTCACTCACTGGTCACTTCATCAATGAAAACTGGGAACTGATGGATCTCAGTCTAGGTATTGCAGAAATTAAAGGTACGGACATTCTGTCGAAATCCTGCTATATCAAAGTGACTCATTAAATGTTCAACTTCCAGGTGCACACGATGCAACAAACTTTGCCAACATTATTCTCAACTATCTGAAAAAATACGGTCTCTCAAACAAGTTGAGTGCGATGACCGCGGACAACATCAGTACAAATGCCGCTATCGGACGGGTCATCGGTACGACTGAAGGCATCGACTTTGATCATACCACCCAGGTACATGGGTGTGTAGCTCATGTCATCAACCTCGCCGCTAAAGAAGGTTTAAAGGTGTTTGGGGAAGTCTTTGATGAACAAGAAGCTGCATCACACTCGAACATACACGATCTTATCGACCCACCTGATGTGAATCAAGTTAATCTCAAGACTATATATAATCGATGTCATGGTTTAGTGACGTGTACCCGGTCAAGCCCTCAACGTGCTCAAGCGTTTGCTAACATTGTCAAGATGCAACATGACTTCGCCGTGGCCATGGCATCTGCAGCTGCGCCTAACCCTCCCACCACCAACTCTACTGGTGCCGAACATCCTACCGAATCTGTGGGCGATGATGCTGAAAGGGAGGCAGTTGACTACATGTTACAAGATCCGAGTATTGACCACGTTCAGCCACCTCGATCAAAAAAAAGTTCTAACTTAGTCACTCGACTTGTTGTCGATGTTCCAACAAGATGGAACTCATCTTATCATATGTTTAGACGGCTTCTACGACTCAAAGAATCATGCGATGAGTTTTGCAAGGCTCGAGACTTCAAAAAATTCGCTCTCTTACCTATTGAATGGAATTATGTCAAACAGATGTGTGAATTTTTGGAACCGCTCAGTGAAGCCACTGAGATCCTTTGTAAATCAAAGTTCCCAACGATGCATCAAGTAGTCCCTATATATATAGTAGTTTTACAAGGACTCAAATCAGTAAGTCATTTGTTTTAAACTTGCATTCATAACACCGTTGGCTAATTTTCTCGCCTTTACACATAGGTTGCTGGAAGATACGACTTCGATCAATTAAAACCTGCATCCAAAAGTATGATTGCCAAACTCGAAGATTATTTCAAGAAAGTGCTCTCCAAACCCGCGCCGATCTGTGCCACCATATTGGATCCTTGTCTTAAGATGAACTATTTCCAAGTGAGTACCTTCCTACTCATTCTGCTTTCACTTTGTACTGATCAACATATCAATTGAAAAAGGAACAAGCAATGCTCTTTTCCGAGTATGACATCTACGTTTCAGACTTTAGGTCACTGTTTGAAGACCAGGCCAGGAAATTCGAATCTGATGCACCAAATCCCACATCGAGTTTTACCAAACGATCAACTCCTGCAACTTCTACCTCACAATATTTTGAAGATGCAATCTTCGGCACTCGAGATGATTCACAACATCAATCAATTGAAAATGAGGTTGCTCAATACCTCGGCGACAAGCTTGAAAGCCGTGACACTCATGTGTTAACCTTTTGGAAAGAACGCACAGCCATATATCCTGCTTTGGCCAAAATGGCAATCGAGTTTCTGGCTATCCCAGCTACTAGCTGTCCTTCAGAGGGCCAATTCAATAAAACTAAACGGATCTTGGGCCCTCAGCGTAGTAGCCTCTCGAGTCTGCATGTTGAGACTCTTTTATGCGTAAAAGATTGGCACCGACTTTTTGGCCCTTTGAAAATTCCTACCCTTATTGAGCTTGATGGTGACAAAAATAGTACTTGATTAAAGTTGTCACGCTTTTTTTTTCTTTATCTTTTCAAATATGATGTTTTGAAATAAATACACGAAATACACGCCTAATACACGCCTCCATTTGTGCCAGATATCCGCCGGATATCCGGCGAAAATCAGATTTTCTTGCCCCTCAATCCGACTACCGGACCGACCGGATTATCCGGCAACTGGATAGTCCCAAGGTCCCATCCGTCACCCGGCTCTGACGGTTGCTCCGACGGATATCCGTCGGATTGTCGGTTCCGGGTGACGGCTTGAGTACTTATAGACTCATACTGACATATAAACATGACATGGGTTAAACGTGTAATTTTTCCATGTCATGTTTACTACCTTTGCTAAAAAGGTTGACCGGGTCGACCGCAAAGGAGAAGAGAAGAGCTGCCAAATTTGGCCGCAGCCTGCTGCGCAGCGCATCCAAATTCAAATCTCGCTCGATCCAAAAAATGATCGAGTTGTCAAAAAAATTGATGTGACTGTCTCATGGCAACTATTGAGATTAGTTACAATCAGTATTAAGCTCATTACGTTGAGATTGTGCAGACAGCCGACTTGCGACTGGAATGAGATGGTGTTGGACGTTATATCATCCAAGCTCTCGGCGTGTGTTTGAGTCGTGTTCATGTTTTTTTTGAGCTTGGATGGTTTTACCTCATGATACAAAAAAAGCACAAGTCTTTTAAAAACTTTTTTTTTCCTTACCCCCAAAAAGCTCAAAGAGGGTCATCATGTAACAATGATGGCACTGACACATCTCTGAGATGTACTTCTCAATTTTACTTCAAAATTTCAGCAAAAGGGCAACACCATGGGGATTGAACCCACAAACAGCTGTACCCAATCTCGACAGCTTGTAGCAGCCGGTACTTTATACTATTAGTCCACAGCAATTTTTGTTTCTCATATTTGGCAAGATATTGATCAAATCGAAACAAGTCGCAAAAGACAGCTGTTGGCGCGACTTTGTCATAATCTAAATCAACTGAGTATCGGTCGTGACCTAACTTAACTAAGGTCCCCTCAGTGCCCCGGGGTAAAGACGCCAACAAAAAAACACAACAAACCCCCGAGGCACGAGGGGACTTACATGCAATGTCCCTTTTCCTGGTGACAAGGGAAACCACCTTTTGGTGGTAGAAAAGGGTCCACAATTGATTATTTTTCACCCAATCATGAAATTTCTTGTATATCAGACATGTTACGCGCCTCCTTCTTGCGCATCTTTTGCCTCCCTCAGAAACACTCTAGCGCGCCAATTGCAAAAGTTTTCTTTGGGGCCCAAAAAGGGTCTTTTTGAAATTCTCAAGGTGCGACTGCGGCTGATAGTAGGCGATGTGTAACAGGGTAATTTGAAACACCAATGTGAGACAAAGGGCCTGTCGAATCTGTCAATCTTGAGTTCTATTGACAAACGTCAAGACCTTTTGACTTTGCCTCCAACCAATTATAAGCTCTTTTTGAAGAAAATTTATCAATCGTGACCCAATAGCTTTTTCAAGTCATCGTGTGAAAGATGTCTCAGTCTAAAATTCGCACTCGAAGCCAGACAGGAAAGGACGTCAAGCTCTCAGACGTCGTTGAGAGTGCCTTATCAATCCCGACTTTGAAGATTGAAACTCCGCTACTTACGAAAAAGCTGCTGGAATCCAGCACATTGGAACAAAGAGAATCGGTCTGCATCCGCTTCAAAGAAAAGTACGGCAATCAAGAACCGAAGAAAATTCAAATCGACACTACAGTCAGTCTCATCAACGGGGACGACACGTTTCTTTTAGCAGGCACAGGCTATGGAAAGAGCCGTGTGCCTGAGTTGTTTTTCCATATGTTTGCAAAGATCAAGAAACCGGTAGTCTTGGTTTTGAACCCTCTAGATGCACTTGGGAACAATCAAGTAAGTGGTTCCATAACTCTTGGTATAGCTCATCAGACTAGCTTACAGGTTTTCCAGGTGTTGGAGAAGAGTCTAATCGGGATTTACAGCAATCAATCTCACAAAGACAACGTTTGGC